GCTCAAAGATATGTATGATGAAATCAACGGTATTAAAGCAACAAATAAAGCAATAAGATGTCTAGGTATTTATATAGGACACGATAAAGAAGAATGCTACAATAAAAATTGGATGAAAATCTACCACGACATTGAAAAGTTATTTGAATCTTGGAAGAGTAGAAAATTAACGGTTTTTGGTAAATCGTGTATAATCAAAACATTAGCAATTTCAAAACTAGTTTATGTTGCATCTATATTGTGTATACCAAATAAAAAATATATCTGTAAGGTCCAAAGACTTTTGTTTAATTTCTTATGGGACAAATCGGAAAGAATCAAACGAAATACACTGATCGGCGATTTAACTGACGGAGGTTTATCAATTACAGATATTGAATGCAAGTTCAAGGCTCTGAAAGCAGCGTGGATACCGCGACTGATATCTTCTAAGGGCACTGTATTTGAAATCTTTGAGAGTTTTTTGAAAAAATCGAATTTAAATCTGAATTACGTCTTACAATTTTCAGAAACTAGTTTAAAAGCGCTTGACAGAATAGGCAAGCTTCCGCTTTTCTACAAACAAATTCTAATCTCATTTAACGAATGTAAAAAAATGTGTAACTTCGAAAATACGTCACCTAATGATATTTTAAAACAACCCATTTGGAATAACAATAATATCAAAATAAAAGGAGAAACATTATTTTTCAACAACTGGGTCAACAGTAATATTCTCTATTTAAAAGATTTAATAGATGATAACGGAAACATAAAAACACTACAAATGCTTTCCACTGTTATTAAAAGAAAGTCGAACTGGCTTTGTGAATATAAAACTTTATTATCAGCAATTAAACCATTGTGTAAAAAATGTGACTTATCTAATGCCAAATATTTAAACATAAAGAATGAAATGAGATTTCATTTTGCAACAGGGGATTCAAATCTAAATGGTAAGAAATGCCAATTTTTTTATAAAATTTTGATACATAAAAAATTCGTTAAACCGTGTTATCAAATTAAACTTTCTCAAGAGTTTTCAATTCCTGTAAACGACTCAAATCTATGGCAAAATATATACATGAGAAAAATCAAAGATATAAATGACAACAAAGTCGCTGAATTTAATTATAAAATGCTTCATAATATTCTCTGCAACAATACCTATTTAAGTAAATGGATAAAGGACAAGGGGGACAACTGTACTTTATGCAAAACAACTGAAACCACAAAACATTTACTTTTTGAATGTAAAATAGTTGAAAAGATTTGGAAAAAATTAGGAACTTTTTTAACTATGGATATAAAATGGAAACACATCGTTCTTGGCTTTTATCTAGAAAAGAACGATAAGGTTGAATCTTTGAATTTATTAATATCTTTTATAGCGTATAAAATATATAAATACAAAATGTACTGTAGAATTGAATCTCTGAAAGAAACTGAAATAGATTTGTTAAAATATGTCAAAAATGCACTTATTCAATATTCTTCTGTATTACGTCTTATGAATTGTGATAAACATATTTTTTCAAAATTTGCAGAAACATTAAGAATATGATGTATACATGTTTTTTTTTTTTTTAATTAGGCAGCTACTTCGAGAGAACAGTCTCAAGTAGCATCGTCCACTGGGGAGTGTTTGGACTTTTTGTGGTTTTAGGACCCCGGTGGACCATAATTTCTAGTTCAACTCTGTTTCAGTATATATTTTGTATATTTATACTCTGCAACACTTTGTCTTTAAAAAAACATGATTCCATTATATGTATATGCACTATAAAAAAAATGCTATAATCGAGAACACATCGGATTTACTCTTTATTTTTGTAATAACTTGGCATAAATATGTAAACAATTGATGTATTTAACAACATATAGATTTTCATGTTTCTCTATCATTATTTTTGTTTATGTATTGTTGTTATTTATAAAAAATACTGAATAAAATCTTATTACAAAAAAAAAAAAAAAAAAAAAAAAATCCCCTTTTCCAACTAGATATGGATGATGTGCGCAACTGGATTTCAGGTTCGCTTTCAGATTATAACAGGAAACATTTTTATGGATAATATGTTGTTAAAATGCATCAGTCTTCATCAGATGAGTAGTTTAGAACTGGTTTTGTGGACAAATATCTAATGAATTCACTGTCATCAGATAATCCTTCATCTGATGTCTGACTATCGTCTGAGTCCTCTTCATTCGTCAAAAGAATTCGTTCAAATATTTTAGATTTAACACTGTTACATGGTTCCTCACATGAACATTCATCTGAGCATTTGCATGAACATGAACAGTTTTTCCTGCAGTTATCACAGCAGTTATGCATCGGAGATATTGGTTCTGGTTTATTTTCAAACATTTTTAACAAACACTGTCTTCGACACAGATTGGACTTTGTGTATTCCTTCATTTGAGGAGTTATATTACGACTACCCAAGGATCTTTTATACAACAGGAGTATTGCATGACTTTGAATAAGTGGATCTCTACCAGCACGTCCAGTCTCCTGAAGGTAGTCATCAATATCATTGGCAGGACCATAATGAACAACTGTGTCAACTGCCTTCACATCCAGGCCCATGCTAAAGGATGTTGAACAAAGAACTACCCGAATATTACCAGTCGGATCCTGATATGATGAACAGATAGATTCCTTTACATCATCATCTGTTTTTAGATGATACATATCAAAGAGCCTATTACGGTCGTCATTAGGGCCATCTTCCTGATAATTGACATATGATGCCTTGCCTAGTGATTCCTCCAGGTGCTCATAAACTTCTGATATATGCTTAATTTGCCTAAAAAATATGATCATTCTTGTTGTATTTTCTTTGTTTGCTTTTAGCTCTTCAACAAGCCATCTAAAATTTTTCCTTATGCTACTGAGCTATAACTTGATGCACCAATATGTAATATTCAGCTTGTTTGGACTGACAATTATTTCTTCAACTTTATTCATTGATAAACTTTTATAGATGTGATCCTTTGTTTTAATGGTAGCTGTTGCTGTTAATGCTATCACTGGAACATTTTCTCCTGTGAGAGATCTTATTTCTCCAAGTTTTCCATAAAATGGACGGTATGCTGGTTTTTTCTTTTTATCTTCACCACTGCATGAAAAACAAAAGATATTGTTTTATTTCACATGTATGTCATTGTGTTTGTGAGGTGTGTTTGTGATTTGGGAGTTAAGGAATTGATTTTTTTAACTGACATACAAAATAAGAGGAGAGCTGTTATGATAATTCACAATTTTTAATATTTTTTTCTACTATCATTTAGAAGTATCCATATAAAGATTCTGTACTTACAATTTCTTAATGCAATGAGCTTCATCCACAAAAATAGCTTTAATAAAGTTTCTTTTTGCCAAATCCTCTGTAATTTTTCTTTGTGTTCCCAATATCGATTCTGGACTTGCAAAGATAATTGTAGGATCAGCAAACTCTCCGCCTAATTCACTAAGGTGATGTGCACTAAGTCCTTTCTTTTGCAATGCATCTACCTGACTTCTTATAAGAGAGGTCAGAGGGGAAATGACCAACACAATTGTTTTATCATGAGCTGAACTTATAATGCTTTGAACAAAAACGGCGCCAGCTCAAATGTTAATGATTTACCACTTCCAGTAGGTGAACAGAAGAAAACATCCTTTTTCTTCAAATATGCTTCTATAACTTTCTTCTGGTTTAGTTTTAATTCACTTATAGACAATTGTTTTAATCCATCAGATATTGCTTGAGATATTTTTTCTGTGTTCATTTTACTTAGAGAAGATTAACAAAAATGTGTGTAAAATTTGTACAACTTTGTAACATTTAGGAAATCCCCCATAACCATTCATCACCTGTCAACTTATCAGCGATTCTCTGGCAGCACACTGCAGTGCTGTAATATGATCCCGTTACCGACCGTATTCTGGTCGGTGAAATTTCTCTATGTTTGACATTATCAAAAAGTATGAAAGAGAGTACTAAAACAGAGAGACTTGAGCAAGTCTAAATGATTCCAAATAATTCATAAATAAATGATGATACGTAAATTTTTTTTTTGTAGAAAATAACGAGTTATAACGAATTACGGATATAGCGAAGTAATTTCATAGGTCCCCGTGACTTCGTTATAACCGAGTTTTGCTGTATTTGTTTATCTTTATATGGATATCTTCTTCTTAAGGAGTTCAAATTTGAGCAAGATGTTTGCCAGTATGAAGCAAATTCAGTATGAGGGCACATTTATATATTTTCAGTTGTGCCATTTTCAACTACCAAAAAGGCCGTCGTAAGCAAAAAAAAAAAAAAATAAATTAAAAACCCATAGACCTTCAGACGTTTTTATTGAAAGGAGCGAGCATAATTATATAAGCTAAATTTGACACATCTGTTTCATATTGTTCTTGAAAAAGATATCGATGTAAATTAAACTACAAAGTTCTATGTTAAACATCAACTTCCCTTATTTACATGTATACAGCAGTATACCTTCTTCACCAGCATACAAAGTTTATATTTCTCAGTTGATTCGATACATAAGAACATGTTCTACGTACGAACAATTTCTAAAACTGTTAATCATAAACAAACAAGATGATGAAACAAGAATATTAGCAATCTCCTTTTAGTCATTATTTGCAAGTTCGATGATGTCAATTGCTGACTGACGTTTTTCATACTAGTTTTAGTCCATCCTTTATTTTCTTAATTGACGACGGGATTTTCCGTTCTTTTCCGATCTTGACAAGGAGCACACGGTGGGTGCGACCGATTGGCAGAGAATTTTCACTTCTCCATGGCATTTGATCCCACCTCTGATGTTTTGGAGGTCCGTGTTTGCCCTGCTTCTGTTTTGCTTTTTTAAATGGCTTTTGATTGTAAATGTTTTTTGTTATCTCCATCTATATATCTATTGTATACTATGTCTTCTTTTTACAAATTCTTTTACAAATCGTGTGCTACATTCGATTCTTCCATTCTGTTTTTTTATATGTGATGTAGAGAAAAAAGTGGTTAATGAGCCCCTGTGATTTAATGGTAAAAATTTAATCTTTAAAAAACTATGCAACGAGTATGAAAGCCATCAAAATAAAACATAAGTTATAATGTAAAGATGTATGCATGCAATTTTATATATTCAATTTATTAAATGAATATAACTAATTGAGATGTCAGAAAGATTGCAAAAATTTCGGCAATTTTATTTTATACATGTTTATAATATCATATAATATTGCCATAAGAATATAATTAGGCATTGAATTACATTACAGATACCATTTTTATTGCCGTTTCTGTTATTCTCTGCTCTGAGGGTTCAGGCCAAAGTGAAACCTTACCATCTCCCCGACAGTTTGTTTAACTGTTTCCATACCTTCTCAAATGAGTCCTACTTCCAACAACTTCCAGCTGAAAAACTTTCAGCAACCTGCTTAATGCGTTATATGTGGTCAGGTTCGTTCAAACTTACTCAAATTTTCAATGACAAGAGTTAAGGAATACGTTTGCCTTATGGTATGTCACTTTATTGTCAGTTTTTAAAAAGAAATAAGTCAGAACCATTCACTTCAATTTGCATGATTTGTTTAATGATAAATATCATTCAATCTATTTTACGAAATATGTGTATATGTATCTCCATATTTACATCCTATAAAATATGATAAAGATTATAGTAAATAATAAAACAGTTAAAGTTATTATTAACCGGTAAGGGTAAAAAGTCAGTTATTTATATCGTAACTCAGTAAGATGCACAATGAACATTAACACCAATTTTCTTTACGATTTCAAGAAATGCTTTATGATTTCCTATCTGAAATATACCTTTCACAAAATTCTTGATATAACTAATTCCACGGATCACATACCTTAATAGGATTTAACCCTTGTTCATGCGGATTATCTTTGGCCTTAAATAACATACTAGAATAGGTAACTGTCGTTTACATATCTTTATTTATTCTTTTAATTCTTCCAGGACAAAATTAAGGAGTGTTTCAACATCTTGATACTATCAAACTCGAATACAGTTTTGAAACACTGCTTTCCAATTGTAGATGTTGGGATAAATTGTCACAACATGACTCAGCACGAGTTAGACTTCGTTGGGGAATTACTAGGGAAATTTCTAGATCGTCGTAAAAAGCGTCAAACCAACAGACGCAGACGGCGTGAGTACAGGAGTCTATCTGAGGAAGAGAGGACCATCTATCATAACGCTGTCAGGTCCCTCAAGTCAAAAAGTCCTGTACGTACCCAATACTCTCCAATTAATTGACACTATTCTAAAATAAGAATTCTCCGAGACTTAAAACTTCTTTCGGTTACATGTAAGTACAGTACAAAACATTATACTTGGAAATACAAATGTACATCAATCAATGTGTCATTAAACTCCGTAAGATAAGAATCTATCAGCTGAAAACTAATCAGTATTAAATATTGAGAAATTTGCAAGAGCTTCGAGGGAAAAAATACGTTTTTTTTTCATATTATAGATTATGATAATTATGTTCATGTGTTCAATACACTATCATTGATATCCATTTTGTTCTTCAAAACAACTGTGTATATAAGATTTTGCTCTGCGTTATTGAATTTTAATCAAGCTTAGTATTACACTACTAGTAATCAAGCATTTCCAAAAATAGGAATTATTACTGCACTGACATGCAACCTCACTGAATTGTAAACAGGTTCATGTATTCTTCTATTAAGCCTCGGAACTACGACACAATAGCAAGATACCATGAAGCCAACGTTGGAAAATCGGCCTATGGAGGTCCTAATTTTCCTGGCTGGCACAGAGTATATCTTTTAATGTCAGTAATCATCACTCAGAATTTTGTACATGTAGATGTCTGAAAGCTTAGGAAGTAATTTGCGAATCAAGTAATCCTACGAATACTAAAGTTGTCATATTTTAAAATTCCCTGTGACTATTACAACTGCCTCATTTCAAAATTTAGATCTCAATGTTTATTTTTTTTCATGACTTCACAGGGGAAATTTTTCCATATATATTATATCCATTAAACTAATGTGGTTTGTTGCTTCGTGAGATCTCTTGCCTTTCTCTTAATTCAGATATGAAGAGGCCCTTATTGAGGCAAGTGGTGGACAGCTGCAGGCCCTCCCATACATAGACTGGCGGCTGGACTCCCGACTCAGCGAATCCACGCAGTCTGTTCTGTGGACACCTCAGTTCCTAGGAACTGGAAATGGCCTTGTGAATAATGGGCCGTTTGCTAACTGGAAAGTGGATGGCTCGTCACTCATCCGTAATGTAGGACTGGGATCACAGCTTACACCTGAGGCTGAAATCCAACGCCTTTACAATATAAACAGTGTCCGTAGATTCGGGACTGATCTGGAGTTTCTTGATATTACCACCCATTCATATATAGGAGGACTGATGTTAGATCTACGGAGAGCCACATTTGATCCAGTGTATTTCATGCATCACTGCTTTATTGACTATCTTTGGTGGCGATACCAGTGTCCAAACAACAGATGCATAAGTGCTAGGTTCAAGTATCCAGGTACAAGCAGTGATGGCTTACATGCTCCTAACAGATATATGGATAATTTAACATTCCAGAACCAAAAACTTCGAAACAGGAGAGGTTACGATCAAGAATGGTTAAATTACTTCACGTATGAAGACTCGCCAGCAGAATGTACTAGTGGTTGTTCTTCCTTATCAAATCCCGGTGCACTTGACTGTACATTGACAACTTGTAAATCTGCCAGGGCTGGTGGAAGTACAGATGGAAGTGGTGGGGGAGGCGAGGGAACAGATTACTATGACAACTATGATGATGGTACACTTCCAAGGAAAAGAAAAACCATTCCACAAACCTCAATCCAACAGACTTCCTTTAACAATGAATACTTCATATGTCGACCAGTACAAAATATTTTTACAATTAATTGTCAAAGTAATTCAAATCAGTGGGGATTCATTCCAGTAAAAGTGGTTAATGTATGGTCCAGAAAACAGGTGTACAACTCGTATCCGGTACGAACAGGCAAAATTCTTGTCTCTTCATTGAATGATATATATGATCAGCTACCGGGCATAGAAAAAATAGATAACCGGACAAAGCCAGGTAATCCAAAGAGATATCAAACTTGTACAACTGACGATTCCAGAGCATTTCGGGTCACGATCAACTCATATGGCTTAAATTACTATGGTTTCTATCAAGATTACGCCATCATGGACAACAGAGCACCTTTGTATTCGGCGATGACGTACATTGCTGTCAGACGTCCGACTAAGTATAAGCAGAGCCTTGTCTACCTGACATCGTTTGACAACTGTGGAAGATTTTGTACTCCAAGATGTCTTGTGCCTGGGTCGAAGCCACCAAGGTATAGAAGCTGTACAGGTGCCATAAAAGTTGACGACAGCCTACCACGGGGATATGGTACCTCGTATGATGACGCAGTTCTCCTGTACTATAGTCTCCACGGTGCTGGAAGTTGTCCTCATACTATTGAGCAGAGTATTCCTATCATATTTTACTGTAATAAGGCAAATACCTGGCTACCAAGAGCAACGAATTCTAATTACTTTGGTTAAGTTTCTAAATAAATTATCAATACCAAGTGTTAAACATTGTTCGCCAACTTAAAGGGGCATAGACACAGAATTGAGGTTTATATCCATCAGAATTCTCGGTACAATTCCATGACTTTTATGTATCACATATTTTTGGATTTTTTTAGTTTCGATATTTTAACACACCAAAGTCTGATGATGCAAATGTGCCAATGATTCATAGATGTGTTCTTTGTATTACTGTGCCAAATTGCGCTGCCGTACAATGCCAATTTGCAAAGTCCGATTGTTTTCAAAAACATATCTTGTACTGAGTGTCAGAAATTGTTTAAATTTAGACAAATAATCAAAACATGCTTTCAGTAAAGGAAAAAGTCCAAAAACTGTCCCATTCTGTGAGAGAACTGTTCGAGGACCGAGAATTGTCCGAGATTTTTTTTTCTCTCAAAGAATGGACAGTTTTCAGACTTTTATTAGCTCACCTGAGTCGAAGGCTCAAGTGAGCTTTTCTGATCACATTTTGCCCGTCGTCCGTCCGTCTGTCTGTCTAGCAGTCTGTCTGTCCGTCTGTAAACTTTTCACATTTTCGACTTCTTCTCAAGAACCACTGGGCCAATTTTGACCAAACTTGGTACAAAGCATCCTTAGGTAAAGGAAAATTTAAATTGTAAAAATGAAGGGACATATTTCCTAGCAAGGGGAGATAATCAAGAAAAGACAAAAATAGGATGGGGCCATTAAAAAATCTTCTTCTCAAGAACCACTGGGTCAGAAAAGCTGAAACTTATGTGAAAGCATCCTAGGGTAGTGTAGATATTGAATTGTTCAAATCATGACCCCCGGGGGAAGGGCGGGGCCACAATGGGGAATAAAAGTTTACATGGAAATATATAGGAAAAATCTTGGAAAATCTTCTTCTCAAGAACTACTGGGCCAGAAAAGCTGAAACTTATGTGAAAGCATCCTAGGGTAGTGTAGATATTAAATTGTTAAAATCATGACCCCCGGGGGTAGGGCGGGGCCACAATAGGGAATCAAAGTTTTACATAGAAATATATAAGAAAAATCTTCTTCTCAAGAACTACTGGGTCAGAAAAGCTGAAACTTATGTGAAAGCATCCTAGGGTAGTGTAGATTCAAAATTGTTCAAATCATGACCCCCGGGGGAAGGGCGGGGCCACAATGGGGAATCAAAGTTTTACATAGAAATATATAGGAAAAATCTTGGAAAATCTTCTTCTCAAGAACTACTGGGCCAGAAAAGCTGAAACTTATGTGGAAGCATCCTGGGATAGTGTAGATTCTAAATTGTAAAAATCATGGCCCCCGGGAGAAGGGTGGGGCCACAATGGGGAATCAAAGTTTTACATAGAAATATATAGTAAAAATCTTTGAAAATCTTCTTCTCAAGAACCACTGCGCCAGAAAAATTGAAACTTATGTGGAAGCATTCTTGGGTAGTGTAGATTCAAAATTGTTCAAATCATGACACCCGTGGAAAGAGCGGGGCCACAATGGGGAATCAAAGTTTTACATAAAAAATATATAGTAAAAATCTTTGAAAATCTTCTTCTCAAGAACCACTGGGCCAGAAAAGCTGAAAATTATGTGGAAGCATCCTGGTATAGTGTAGATTCTAAATTAAATCATGACTCCCGGGGGAAGGGTGGGGCCACAATTGATAATCAAAGTTTTACATAGAAATATATTGGAAAAATCTTTGAAAATATTCTTCTCAAGAACCACCGGGCCAGAAAAGTTGAAACTTATGTGGAAGCATTCTAAAGTAATGTAGATTTTGAATTGTTCAAATCATGACCCCCAGGGGAATGGTGGAGCCACAATGGGGGGATCAAAGTTTTACATAAAAATATATAGGAGAAATCTTTGAAAATCTTCTTCTCAAGAACCACTGGGCCAGAAAAGCTGAAACTTATTTGCACATGGAAGGATCCTGGGGTAGTTGATTTCAAAATGTCTTAATTATGATCCGTGGGGTAGGGTGGGGATACATAATGTATTACAAGGGGGAAATCTGGTAAAGAACAGAATGGTCAAAGCTTCTCAGGTGAGCGATGTGGCCCATGGGCCTCTTGTTTTTAATTTAATTTATACATGTATATATTTGCTTTAATAATTTAAATATATATTATGAAAGTTTAAAGCTTTGTTCTGAAGTTTAGATGTAATGTTTTATCGTTCCTTTGTGTTTTGAGTCTTGGGTAATTAGAAAAGATAACTCTTGAAAGTAGACTTTTATACCAAATATTTTTTAAAGTGGAATTTTCTTTTCGTTAAAACATTCTTCATTCAATATGTCACATGCAATTAATTGAAATACATACCTTGTCTCTTAAGAACTCATTTTCTTAATATTTTATGCACAGATTAAAAAGATGTTGACATTAATTGGTTTTATAGAGAAACCTCTTTTTTTTTTTTTATAAAATTAATATTAGGTATTATGAGATATTTTCATTGTGTGTACTTGTTTATTAAAGAAGATGTCCATCATTTGATATTGAAAGTTTTGAAAGAGATTTCACAATATTCCAGTTATAAAATAATATACTTTTTGCAAACTCCTTTTCTTAAAACGTTTCCCTTAGAAAAGAAGGGATGAATTTTAAGCAATTTTAAAATTCCTATCAACACGGGTCCTTTATATAATTATGCTTCATTTATAGACATAGGACAAATATACTCTCTTTTAGAGAAAATTAAATAAAATGTTCGGGCAACAAATTTCAACAGAAAAGCTTCTTTGAATTTTTACCTCATGCAGCTGTGCTTTGTTTGTTTTTTTTTTTTAATTTTCGTTTGACATTTTTTTTTGGAATGTGCAATTGTAATGATCATTAAATACATTAACTTTCAGAATTTTTTTTTAATTCAAAGTACGTATGTAGTAGTGTATATTCTGTCCATCACAGTAGGTGAATAAACACGTTTAAATTTGTAAAATTCAGAACGACTTTACGTATTTAGCTCAAATACATGTACATATATTTACCTTAACATTGTTCGGAAATTTACTCAAATAAAAGAATATGTAACAAGCATTTTCAAACACGATCAGCAAAAAGTTAAGCAGAATCGCATGTACTTTTCGTGGTCAACAACATAATCACAGAAATCCCGATGAGGAGCACGGATATTACAAAGCAAATGATATCTAACATTTTTAGTCCGTGTTTCTTCAGAAATTTGACCAGAGGGATCTTTCTTCCAGTGCTTTCATTACTAGAAACAGAAATACTTTCATCATACATCTCAAAAGTCGCCGGCTTTTCCAAGTCGTTGTTCATGGGTTCAACTTTGGTTTCACCATTTTGTGCTCGTTTATTGGCAATGAATGAGTGAATTACGGTGTTGATTACCATTACTGCACTTCCAATTATGGAATAGAGATAATATTTACCTAAGGAAAATAATTAAATTATGTTCACCTTCTAAAGAAAAGGTTTATAAGCATGACAAATTAAAGTCATATTGATAAATTTAATCTTTAAACTCGTTTTATTATCTTAAATATTTAAAGTGTCATTTACCTAGAACTGGTACTGCGTTTGAGTTTTTCGGAATGATGTCACCAACTTGCACCAGAAACACAACAAAAGCCAAGAATATGGTCATTCCACACGAGATCTTCTCTCCTTGGTCATTGGGAATAAGGAACGCAAATATTGTCAAACAATTCAGCAAAGCAGAAGGACCTAACATGGTAAAGGTATAGTACAATGACTTCCTGAACAAGCAGAACTTAATGGAAGCCACGTTTGAATACTCTGAAGCCGTCGTCTTGAATCCTGTGATGGTCCAGATCGGGTGGTCCACAGTCATAATGCCTGCTCCGGTAACGGATTGTATTGGGTTGTCTGAGAACTTCAATCTAACCTCCGCGGAGGAGTGGACCGTTAACCCAAACATCATGACGCAGGTCTGTATATCGAAAGGGAAATGTATGGGGTCCAGAGGGCAGGAGACAGACATTTCTCCAGAGTGTGTGGAACTTACTTCTCCTGTGTGCTTAATTCTCAATAAATCGTTATTTAATCCGTTGCTCAAGAAAATGGAATCCATTCTAAAATCAAATGTGAAATATCATTGCATAAATAAATATGTTTAATGAAAAGTTTGTAATACGAGGGCTGTTCAATAAATAATGTCCTCGGTGCTAAGGAAGAAGCAAACGACGATTTTAAATGATTTAGTCTTTATAATTTTACCTATTAATCTTTTTTAATTCAAACACATGTCCGTAACATTTTTTATCCAATTTTTAATTGTTTTTAGAACTCATTTTTGGTATGACCCTTAGTATACTGGAAAATGGTAGATCCAACGATTTCTTGGACTTGTTTTTCCTCCCGAAAGGTGTTTTTTTTTCAAGTTTGGAAATAGAAAAAAGTCAAAAGGTCAAAGATATGGCAAATATTGTTAATGTGAAAAAACATTAACTTTCTGTTAATCACGAGAACCCCTATACTCTTCAGGGCATGCGGGTTTGGACGCTGTTATGAAGAAATTCAATGTAGTGGATTCCTGAATTTTTTTGCCAAAATATTGCTATCTAGACTCCTCCGGACATTAAACTGACTCCCCAAATACGAACTTGAACAATAATACCACTAATATCTAAGAAATTAAATTGCATATAAATCTGTCTTTGTGCTCCTGAATACCTTTGCTCTCGTCAGACCTTCGCCGTTTTTATCAAGTACATCTTATGGTAAATTTTGTTTTGAAGGTTTTAAGCAATAGATTCATGTTCCAATATCTGTTTGAATAAAAATTGAACGTGGATATCTACAATTACTGATATTTTGAAATAATTGTTAAGGTTTTCGTATACGATGTCGTTTTCACTCAATTTTCAAAATATAGGGTGACCTTTGAGTATCAAGCTTTTTTTTACTGTCAAACGTTTATCAAAAACAGTGTAAACTACTCCCGATATGACGTCTATCAAATTTGCTATGTGTCTTAAGTCAATTGTACATCATCAAATATTATTTGTT